CTGATTAATAAAGGGACTAAGCTGAATATACACACTGTGCAAACTTAATGCATACAGACAAACATTACTGTTTCCCAGTACTGTTACCATTACTGTCATCCCATTCTCTAATACAAAAGAGAAAAAAACACACACAGTTCTCTCAAGACACCATGTCATTCCCCGGCCTATCCCGATCATCAGATCATCTCTTAGCTTTCTATTATGGCAGAAAGATCTCTGAAACAAAGCACTGCCAATTAATGCTCTATCAGCCTACAGCCAGTCCTTTCACACTCTATGACAGGAAGCGGTTCAGAGACAGACTCCCAATGTTTTGAGTACGTCTTGCTCTGCTCCCTTTCCCTCCATTTTCTTTTAAACAAATCTCGTCTCAATGAGGAATTGTGTTAATTTCATGCCACGGCCATTGTTCTTTGAGTCTTGATATTTAATAAAAGCTCATTGTAGTGGCAGTGCTGGCTGTTGTACTAACGAACGTGGGCACAGTAATTTCGCTGCGTTTTTCTGTCACGTCTGTCGTCTCCATTTTTCCTGCTTTTGTAAGCCGAGCGACGTGGCTAATCTGAGTGATTGCGCTTGCAAGACGAGAGAGACGGAGAGAGCGGGGATAAGAAAAAGCAAAGAAAGGCAGCGAAGAAAGAAGGTTCGAGCTGCACCCTGTCACCTGTTTAAGCTTCATCCGCGCTCCTGGCGAAAGGGAAAGTCAATAGAGGAACGAAGGAAAGGGGGTGAGGGTGAGAGACAAGGAGCAGGTGAGTCAACACACACAGCGGTAGCCTTCAGTGACATGAATATGTATTAAACATGCTAAATGCAGGTTTCGGGTGTCAGCTGGGTGATTTGCCTCACATTCAGATATGTCGAGGGGTGTGTGTGTGTGTGTGTGCATGTAAGGGTATTCTTTGCATGTTAAAAACGGTTGACTGGATATGTGTGTGTGAGGAAGTAGGAAACATCTGAGAAAAATAGGGGTTAAATAGACAGTAACGGTTTTCTTTTCAGGGCTACATTATGTGAAAACACACACACCAAAGCAATCAATGACTGCACTCCTGCAAAATAAAGTGATACAAAATACCTTGTGTGGTGTTTCTATTGACCTTATTCTGCAATGGGGAGGTAAACTTGTGTTTGCGATTGTTTTAAAACTTCCAATTCAGTTCCCTATGGGAGAAATGACAAGGAATAATAAAGTGCCAAAGGCGACGTTGGCTTGTACGTCAAGAAGGTTAAAGGTTAAAAGACAACCCTTCAATATAAAATCATTAGGGGATGTACAGTGGGTAGTTAAATGTAATGAATTATAGGAACTAGCCACAAGGCCTTGGTCCACAAGACCCTATTTCCGAGCAGACAATTTTCTTGCATGTATTTACACCATAACTAATAACCAGGCCCACCCGGAATCTCCCCGCGCTGAATTCCGCAGATTTTCCACAGATTTCCGCAGATTTTTAGAATATCATTAATTCTGTTTATTTACTTGAGTAAATGTGTGTAAATCTATGTTTATTCAGTTTTTTTATTCATTTCAGTAATATTATTGAAAAATGTAAAAGTGTCATTCTGATTTACAATGCAGTTTGTACAGTAATATTTTCTGTCTTTTACTAGATATATTATATGGAAAACTTGCTTTATTTCCCAAATAAAGTGAATCTAATTGGATTTGCATTTTAAACATTAAATAAAAGTTAAAAAAATATATTATTTTATTTCATATATTAAGGTTTTAGTTATGAAACTCCCAAAATAATTCTGTAGAAATCCACAGACTTTTACCAAAATTCTCCGCAGAAATAGCAAAAAAGGTCCGCAGATTCCATCTGGCCTTACTAAAAACCCTGAAGTGACTTAAAAACACTGTATGTAATCTTTGCCACTAGGGGGCGTGTATTCACAACAAACAAATACAATGTTCCCACTAGCCACTTTGGCTGGTTAAAAATATTTTTTTTATATTGTAGTTTTCTCAAAAGCAGGATTCCACAATAAGCATGGGCAAAAATAATTGTGTTGAAAAGAAAGCAGGTGAATACCGAATGAGAGGATGATTACTTGCGCACACAAGTGATGCGAACGACTGTTTAAAAAACATGCACGCTCACGTTTACTTGTGCGAAGCAACTGTGCCTAGAGGAAATGCAACTGGTTTGATTGGTTCTTTTGAAATAGACTGGACAAAAAGTGAAGATCGTGCAACCACAGTCCTGCTGCTTTCAAAAGCTCAAGATTTCTTTATCCCATATATATAGTATATAGTATATCATTTTGTAAACATCAGTGGTTGCTGCTTTTGCTTGAACTATTCTTTGAACAGATTATTAATGGGCCTAAAGTTAACTGTGTATGCCTGATCATACTTTCATTATCATGCACGGTATGTTTTTTTCTTGCTTACGTTTTTTTTTTTTGTTAAAATGTTGTCATTTTCATCTTTTTACATTTACATTTCTTTAATATGAGATTAACTCCCCATTTATGTTTAGTTAACTGGTACCTTTAGCCAAGACAGATTACTGTGCATATTTTTCATACATGGCAATAATTCTCTTTTAAATTTAATTTAAAACAAAACCATTTAAATGAATGAGGAAGCATGTGGAAACAACACAAAATCTAAATCAAGTAAGCATGTCAAAGTCAAATATTTGCATATAAAATATATTTTTACAACAACAAAATTGTGGCTAGTGAAAATGTCAAGTGGCTAGTAGCATTGGAAATCTACTAGCCACAGCAGCTGGAAATCAAAAAAGTTAATGTCAAGCTCTGTTTAAATATATTATTTATACTTATAAATTTTATAACACCATCTATATGCAAAAATTTTCAATAGATAGATTTTTAGTACATCTTGTAATGTGAGCAACCCAAAGTTGTTACGTTTTGGACAGCAGTGCAAGTATACCTGGAAGGAATACTGCAATACTCAACATGATATTGAACCATTCAGGACAACCCCCCAAAAATAGGTATTTTTTTTACCTATTTTACCAATTTGTGATGATTAAGCATCACTCATTTAAGATAAATAGAATTCATCATTGCTTAATAATAGTTTCTTATTAAAATATAATTAAAAAATATTACTAACCACAAGACCTTTTAAAGATAGTCCATAGTACTTTAAGATTACATAACATGTTACCAATAGTTAAACTAGATTATTCATTCATTCAATGTCTTTTCAGCTTCTTCCCTTTATTAATCAGGGGCTGCCACAGCGGAATGAACCGCCAACTTATCTAGCATATGATTTCTAATGCAATGTGACGGCAATTCATAACTTTTGGATTTAGTGGCTATTTTGTATGAATTTGTATGATCTAATTCATACAATTTGTACGATTTGCTCATCACCCAATGGCGGTTGGGTTTAGGGGTGGGGTTGGGTGCCACACCTTCTTTTTACTCATACGAATTAGCCACTAAACTGACAAAACGTAAAATACTTATGTTTTCCCGTGAGATCAGGCTGTTTTTATGCTGCAGATGCCCTTCCAGCTGCAATCCAACACTGGGAATCACCCATAGACTCTATATATAGGCAGTATAGGCAAATGCTTAGGGCGCTGTACATCCAGGGGGCGCCAGAAATGATCGCGGAAAAGTTGGTTTTGTTTTTGATATGCCTGAGACATTCAGTAATAGATGGCAATAACTAAAAAACCTCTTAGCCTAAAAAAAGATCTAAAGTGTGTTTTCTACAAAAAGACAAACCTTGTTATGTTTCACAGCTGTCGTTTTCTTTTTTTTTTTTTCCGCTAGACATTACGAGCACTGCTCCGTTTAGCCGGAGATATGCGTTTAGCCGGGAGAGCTCATGTGGAGTGAAGCTCTCAGTAAGGGACCGTCGGAAAAGTGCTTCTTTTTTTTCTTTTTTCTTTTTTGCTCTGTCCTGCGTGTTTTATTTTAAACACAACAAATTTTCTCTTAAATGTGCACAAACAGTTACTAAAGTAGTCGAATGCTTCATTCATTCATTCACATAGATCTGTGCATTCTTACATTAACATCTCTGTTATCAAACAAAACACAATGAGAGATTCATCTGCTGCTCTTCACTAAATAACTATAGTAACTTTAATCAATATGCAAATACAATAAAAAGTTAAATAGATTTTATAGCTTTATTTAATTTCTGTATAGGGAATTGATTTTCATAAAATTTTATTTTATCAATTTTTTTATTCTTTGCTGTGTATTCTATCATTTGAAGCTATTTGTTGTCCCAATTTTTTTTACATCCCAACGTTGACAGATATGGCATAACATTGCTAATCAATAAATATCTATAATGCTATCTGTTAGTTTTAACGTCAGCTAATGTTATGGAAGGGCATAGATTTTATGGAAAATAGTAATAGTAATGTAACTACCCCCATCATTCCTTCCTCAAGCAAATGTGTAAATATAAGATTTATTCAGCTACAACGTTAATTGCATTGGCATATTTATCTGACTTTTCCCAGCTTGTAGTAGTCGATCAAAACGCTATTTAGTTTCTTATGACTATATGTACACTTGCAGTGGTGGAATTTATTGCGATGTGACGGGGCGCTACCTGAAATCTTGCCTAGGGCGCCAAATTGGTTAGGGCCGGGCCTGTGTGGGAGAAACCGGAGCACTCGGAGGAAACCCATGTGAACACGGGGAGAACATGCAAACTCCACACAGAAATGCCAAGTGACTCAGCCGGGGCTCAAACCAGCAACCTTCTAGCTGTAAGGCGACAGCGCTACCCACTGCCCCACCGTGTCACTCTAAACTAGATGATGTACTAAAATATTTTGTTTATACTGTGTAATCTCTCATTGCATCTGTGTTTGCAAGAGTCTGCTGTCCACCTCGTACACAGATCTTGTCAATTAGTCCCTTTCCTGGTTCAATTTCACCTGACAAAAACACCTTTCGAAGTCACCTACATATGTAGGGAGCGAGAAGCTCACTAGATTTTGAAACAGACCCCATAGCAATCCATAATGCAAGGATACTCTGAATTGCCTTCTCGTTTCCATCAGATAGCAGCACTTCCTTCACATCAGCACAAACCGCAATCTGTAGCAAAGAGAGGGAGAAGAAAAGATGAAAAATAAACAAAGCCATAAATAAATAAAACAAAAGCAAGACATCCTCAGCCCACAGTTTCTCCAGCAGTCCTATCAGAAGAACGCTGATTTTTTAAAGCCGTACTCCAAAAAAATAGAGACCACCCATCTCCCTTTCTCCCCTGATCCATCTCAGCCTGTCTGTCTCTGCCCTTTTTTTCATTCTACGTCTGCATTATTTTAATCATTCAATCAAATCAGTCAATACTTTTATCATTCCCGGTGGCTGGGAGCCCTCTATCTTGCTATCACTCTGTCGGGTAATTGCATTGTGACAGGGGATGATGGCGAGCGCCGAGCCTTTCATTTGCAGTGTGGCGTTTATCAGACGGGGCCATCGCGCTCTGCTGTCACTCCGTACTCGGCTCGCGAGGCCTGCCTGATGCCCTTCATATAACTTTGTACTGCCGAGCCCCAGCCTTTTTGTGCTGCTCCGCTGTCAGCTCTTTCTGTCCCCTTTTTATACAGTCTTTTCATTCAAGTAGTCGTCTTTATCAGAGGCGCCGTGTAACAGTTGTTTGGAGAGGCGCAGTGGGCAGAGGCAGGGAGTGTGTGTGTGCGCCTTTGTAAAAGTGCTTGCGAGGTATTTGTGTTTTGAGTGATCCCGTTTTGGATTTCTTCTGAGAATTTCTCAAACACAGAGGTAAAATAAGTTGTCACATCTATTAATGCAGACTATTTTATGATTGTCTTTCTTAAAAGACATGACAGTGTAATACTTTTAAACGATTATTATTTGTAATTAAAGTCATTATGAAAATGATTATTATAAGGCTGTTTAGCAATGGCTTTATTGAACTACACTACAATTCAAAAATGTGGATTTTTGTGATTTTAGCAATTTATTATTTTATTTTATATTTTTTAAAATATAAAAAACTTTTTTACAAGGTTATTATTTATTAATTATTAAATAATAAGAACACAAAAGACTGAGAATAAAAATGATTCTTGAGTTAATAGGAATTTGCATGATATTTTAAAATAACGGCCAACTTTACAGCAGAAAAAATTTGTTTACATCCTGGTACAAAGAATGGTTTTGGTGCATATAGCTAATATTACCCTTCATGACAACTGTGAGGGGGTGAATTTTTTATAACTCATCCGTTTCGTTTATATTAAGATATATGAAGTCTGCATAATCAAGGGCGTGGCCACTTGAGAGACAGCTGGGTCTCGCTGGTCGCCACTGTCACTTCATTTCAGCTGATTCCGGCTGATTAGTAGCTGAACTCGGCATATACGTTGTATTTTTGTTTTGTTTTATGTGGATTTAAACAGTCAGTTGCTTTTTGAAATTATTACTTACAAGTATCAGATGATATGGCATGCTGTGTGCACTTAATTGTGCTTAAAAACCATTAATGTTTTTAACATTAATGACATTTTTATATACTTATATATCATATCTCTAAATGTATTTGTTTTATTTAAGATTATTTTCCATTTATAATTTTCTTTAGACCTGTAAAGCACTCCAGAATCTGACTGAATCTGAATCTAGAACAGTAATCTGAAGCGTTGTCATACATTGTTAAGCCTGGATTTCATAAATAGCCTTGCATTTACAAACACAGACTATATTTGAAGTGGAAGTTATTTGCGCTTTCTTCCTGTAAAAAAAAAAAAACATCATAAGAGCAATGCTTAGTAGCTCAATGTATTACAACAGCTTAGTTTTTAAAAGACCAAACACTTTATTGATATAGTGTAAAACCAAGCACATGTGATCTGAACACAAATAAGTCACAGGTAACGAAGTGTTAAACATTTCTTTCAATGAAAAACCCATTTAAGCAAAAGGCTAGCTGGCATCTGTAGATCTGCCAACGCCCTGCCTCTTTGCCCTTATTTGGTTACCCCTGGTTGGAGCGATGACACAAACAAAATGGCGCTGGTTGGCCACGGCCACTTGTAGCTTCATTTGCACTCATCAGAAACCTATGGGTGAAGTCACAGATACTATGTCCATACCATTTACAGTCTATGGCTACGAGTAAGGTTGCAGACCTCTCCTTTAATGGGTTCCTTTTTTAAACTTACGATTTTAAACAGTTTGTTGCTATTTATAACAGTTTACTGTAATCTGATTGAAGTAAAAGGTTGAAGTATTTGACAATAAAGACTACAGTATACAGACACCATTAATAAGATAATTGTAAAAACTGCCCTTATGACTTTTATTATCACTGGAAATCAATAGTGGCACAGATATTATGCCTTAACAGAAAAGTTAATTTTGTGACTCTGCGTATTACTGACAAATATCTTAAAAATATATTTTTTAAGCTGACAGTTTACATGTCTTATATTTAATTTCCCATGTTAAACTAAAACATCATAATCCCAGCCGGCACACGACCGACCTTCAACGTTGAAATATGGTTGAAATAAGGTCAGATGTGTTTTGAACGTTGAAATAATGTTGATAGAACGTTTAATGTTGAACGGTTGAAAAACAGCCTGCATATGACAAGGCTTCAACGTTGAAATGTGGTTGAAAATACGTCAGTTGTTGCTTTAATGTTGAAACAATGTTGAATGATAAATGGTTGAAAAAAGTTACAGAAATCCTTGTACAAATCAACGTTGACATTTTTTTATCATGGTCTGTATGTTGAATTAACGTCATGGCTTCACCCAATTTTCAACATGTTTGGTTACCATGGTATCGGAGGACTCGGCGCACGCGGCCACGCGCAGCGCTTCACTTCACTTAATTACGAACACCTGACCTGCAGTGCAGCAGAATTCAGAGGTAAGCGTGTTTTTAGATGCTTTAATGTTTTATTTACCCCCCGATTTTGTTTTACACACAGTGTATCTTAAATGTGACTTGGTGTAGTGTTTCGAATTTTGAAGCATTTAAAACTTTCCAGTTTGTTTTTAGTCTTGTTTGCGCTCCGGTGACGCAGCTAACCTCAAGGTAATGTCACATGTTTAACGTTAGTCTAAATGAGCGTTTTTATGGCAAATTCAAAGCGATAAACTCCAAACGCAGTTTAAAGTTACTGAGCAACGTTATAAAACAATATCCATTTTATACGCTGTATTATTAGTGTTATTATTACAAAGTGAACTGCTGTCGTTTCACTGTTGTTGTTGTTTTTGCTTTTAGACATGTAACTTACTCCAGAGACGCACTAACTTGCACAGCATTAAATGGAAAAGGCTTTGTCCATGTAAGTTTACTTTACCTTTAACTATCTGTTAAATCTTCTTGGTGCTTTGGTTGGTGATTTTCTCTTTCTAATCTGTTTGTTTATTGATTGTTAGGCCATGTTGTGATATTATATTGTTATATTGATATTATTATTGTGAAATCATGTTGTGATGTTATACTATGTGACAGTATTGGGGAACAAATATGTATTTAGTGAGAAATTAATGCTTAAATTACACTTTGTATAGTAGCAGATAAAAGGTGTAATGGGTTTTAACTTTCTGAGTTTTCTGGAAGGTCCAGTTGAGGGGCATCAAGAACACGCAGATAGCCTACCTGTGTCAGCCTGGACAGACTGCAGTTCTGCTACTCCATGCCAAGGCTTTTGTATGGATGTCTTGACTACTACTGTGTTCTCTAAAGGTATTACTGGAGCAAAACAACAGCACCCGTTACAGTAAAATTTGTATTCAAAAAAATAGTGATACATGTGTAGCAGGTCCAGTACATGTGATGTCATTGAGAAGTTGTTTTTATTAAATGTCATTAAAACAAATAAATAAACATGCTATTTAAATAAATCTAAATATTAAAAACTTGAGGATTAAGATGACAAATGAAATGCATCATCTGTCTTGCGAAAAGGGTATACTTAAGAATTCTGGTCTTTTCCAACTTAAAGGGATAGTTCACCCAAGAATGAAAATTTACTCACATTTTACTCCCCAAATGGTTTAAAACCATTATGAGTTTATTTTGTTGAACACAAAAGAGGCTATTCTGAAAAAAAAAAAACTAAAAACCTGTAAACATTGACCTCCATAGTAGAAAAAAATACTATAGAAGTCAATGGTTAAATAGATTTGCAGCTTTCTTCAAAATATCTTCTTTTGTGTTCAACGTGGTCAGTAAATGACGACAGAATACAAATTTTGAACTATCCCTTTAATTCTCTGTCCTACATGCAGACTTTTGCAGAAGTGCTACTCCTTCTAGAGTTTTTCTCAACCATGTCTAAAAAGCTTTAAACAGCTTTTACAGTACATGTAATGGTTTACAACAACTTGTAATTATTAGATGTGTTGAATGTTTCATGATTCTTTACTGCAGCCTTGGCTAAAAAAAAAAAATAAAAGCAATTTTTTCGAGAATCTGAAATTTGAATTCTGGAAATGCTGGCACCGGTGGTAGCGAAGGGCTTCCTGACGATATCACACCTAATTCTTCACTTCTCTTAGTTAGGAATATTCAGATGGATGACTCAAAATTATTGAGTGTGGCGATATTATAGGACTAATTTGGATTCAATAAAAAAATAAATATTTTAATTTCACTTTGTATAATAGCTGATACCAACTTAGTTGTAACCTCGTATTTCATTTATTGCAGGTTTTCTGGAGGCTCCAGTTGAGGGCATCAAGGACATACTGATGGCCTAAACCAGTGTCAGCCAAGACAGACAGGCATCTATTGCAGTTCTGCTACACAAGACCAAACTCTCTGCTTTTGTATGGATGTCTGACTAGTACGGTGTTCTCTAAAGGTATAACTGGAGCAAAACAATAGCATCCGTTACAGTGAAATTTGTGTTCATAAAAGATAGTGATATGTGTAACAGGTCCAGTACATTTGTCATAAAGGTTAAATCACAGTAAGTACTGTAAAAATAACTTGTTTGCCTTAACCACAACAGGTCGTGGTGTATGCTTACTGCTCGTATAAACACACGCTGATCTGATGAGGGAGAGATATACGCAAACACAATTGTATTTAATGTTTTGTTT